GATTTAACATCTAAGCAAAGATGTATAAAACCATCCTCAAATGCTTCTGAGATGGCTCTTTGAAACTTGGATACAATTATGGCCTATGGAAATGAGGTGGAAATGCCAGAACTTTCCTGACAGTGTTAAAGGAGTCAGAAGGCTCAGGGGAGTGAAAACGTTAGATTGTATTTGTCATGCAAGACTAGAGAACCTATCACCAGATGATGTTCCCAAGTCAAGTTCAGAGGACACACCCTTCACAAGGCAGTACAAAATGCACAGCTGAGGATCCCCAGTGTCAGTGGGGATGGTAGGACTCTAGAATAGCAGAGAGTGGGTAGATGTAGTTACAAGACCAAAGGGGCAAATAGAGTGCTTCAACCCCTGGGGTCTGTGGTGATGCCTGATAGACCACGGTTTTCCTGGGAGTTAAATAAATGGGCAGATGACTGGGTGTTACTTTACTTGTTTAACAACCTCACCTCCAAAATCAAGAGCTAGTGATCAGAAGGCTGATGACAACTGCCACAATGGAAAATAGTGTTTCCTTATGAATTTCCCAGGTCCAGGCCAGTTCACAAGCTCAGAGCCTGCTGATTGAAAAGAAGGCCACATCTCTTTAAGGAAAAATCCTCCAAAAGTATGTATGATAACTATTTCCCTAGTCTTTCCCCACAGGCTATATCAGACTGCTCAGGCTACTGTAATAAAATACCACAGAGTGGGTGGCTTAAACAATTGAAATGTATTTATCACAATTCTGGAGACTGGAAAGAGGGTCCAAGATCAAGTGCTGGCCAATTCAGTTTCTGGTGAGAGTCTTCTTCCTGGCTTGTAAACAGCCACATTCTTGTGAGCTCTCTGGTGGCTCATCTTTAAGGGCACAAATGCTATCATGAAGGCCCCACCCTCATGAGCTTGTCTAAACCTAATTATTTCCCAAGGGCCCCATCTCCAACCATACCTCCACACTGAAAGTTAGGGCTTTAACATATGAATTTGGGACCAGGGGGACAAATTCAGTCCATAGCAGTGAACTTTTACTAGAGTAACTCTGGCCTAAGGAAAGGGAAAGACGCAAACCTTTCAAGGGCTGTTGGATACAGATTGTGCATTGGCACTGATACCAGGGAATGGGAAATACCATTATGGTCCCCTAGTTATACTAGGGGCTCGTGAAAGCCAATTGGTAAACAGAATTCTCCTGCAAGGAAGTCTAATGGGTCTAAAGATCCACACTCTCATTCCCTGTTCCCTAAGTACATAACTAGGTACACTTAGCAGCTGGCAAGACCCTAATATTTACTCCCTGTTCTATAAAATAAGAGCAATTATGGCAGGAGGGGCCAAGCAGAAGCCTCTAACACCCCCACGTTTTTGACCAACTTATTACATCAGAAGTAAAACGACATCCTGAATGGAATTTCAGAGATTAACAGCAACATCAAAGATTGTCTTCTTAATATCCTTCAGTAAGGAGGATCAAAACAGTTTGTTTTTATGTGGGGATGAACAGCAGTATATATTCACTGCCTTGCCCCTGGGCTGCGTTAATTCTTCTGCTCTCTATCACAGTGTTTAGTGACTTTGATTGTCTTGATTTTCCATAGAATATCACGATGGTTTACTGTATCGATTACATAATGCTAATATGTCATAACCTAGTGAGCAGATGTTCTAGTAAGACACATCCATGACAGAAGATAGGAGATAAAAAGTATTATTCGGGGCCTTGCATGCTGACAAATGTTTTTTTGTTTTGCTTGTTTTTTTTTTAACTTTTTGTTCTGGAATGAGTTAAATGTATATAAAAGTAGACAAACTAGTAAAATGAATCCCTAGGACCACTACTATGGCCAATCTTATTTCATCTATATGCTCACCCACTTCTTTCATTCCTTATTATTTTGAAGCCAATTGGTGAAGTTATTAGAGATTCAGTAGTCTGGAACATGCCAGGCCATCCTCTGTAAGGTAAAGGCAAGTTGTTGTACCCTGTACCCTCTACCACTAATAAAGACATAGTGCTTCGTGGGAATACTACTATAACCCATTTAATGGGTGCCTGAGAAAACTCTCACTTTTGAGTGAAGCCCAGAGAGAGCTCTACAGTGTGTCCAACTATAGTACAAGGTTCCCTGCCATTTGGTCCATATGACCCAGCAGAATCCATGGTGCTAGAGATGTTCATGGTGATAAGAATGCAGAGTAGAGCCTCTGATAAAAGAGATAGGCCCTAATAAAAGAGTTTCAGTACAGATCTCCATAACAAGGTCATGCCTTCTGTAGCAGAGAGCTATTTGCCATTTGAAAAGCAACTACATGGCTACAGTAAAAACTGAGTGCCTGGCCATGGGATATCAAGGGTCTAGGCAACTAGAAATGTCCAGTAAAAGCTAGGTATTGCCAGATTCTATCAAGTCATAAGATTAAGCAGGCATGTCAGCAATCCATCATATAATAGAAATGGTAGTGTCAGGATCAGGACTGAGCAGGTCCATACAGCTTAAGTTAATGAACTGGTGATTCAGACTCCTATGACACCTATCTCAGCTATATCAACACTTCGCCCCCAACTCAGACCTGTGGTCTTATGAGGGTAGTTCTCTATAACCAATTGATAGGGGGAAAAATACTCAGCCCTGTCTCACAGAAGATACAAGCCAAAAAATGGATTCTTACTGCAACACAGCCCCACTTAGCAGTGGCACTGAAGGACACTGGTGAATAGAAAGCCTCCCGGGGTCCAGCTGTAAGCAGTGTACTTGGGCATTCATTTCATATGGAAGGCTAAATGGTTCAAGGTATGGATTTACCTTGGATAAATAAAAGGTAAGGATTTCTTGGGTGGTAGCAAACAATTCAGTTGAGTGGTACCTGTTTGGCTCACACATATGCAGCCTGGGACTGCAGGGGAGTTGACCAATGGAACCAGAACTAGGAAACAGACGCTGCTTCATTCTGTATGACTCTTTAGAAGGTCCAAGTGGGAATCTCAGTCACCCATAGTAATGAGGGTTGGGAAAAACCTGAGGCAAATGAAAGGAATGAGGTACTTGCCCCAGGTGAAAAATCCGACTGGAGAGGAGTCTTAGGCTTGGACACTGAGCGGACTGGTCCCTACTCTGGTTACCTTGCCAGATCTGGGTGCCAAGCTGGACCTTCTCCTCCTCCGTCCCCCCCCCCCCACTCCGTTCCTGGACTGGGGCAGAGGGCGGGGTGGGGCGGTCCCTTCCGCAAATCAGACGCCTTCCAGTCCAAGAAGACTCTGGCAGCCAGCCCCGATGAAGAGCCCTGGGGGATCAAAATCAGAGCCCAGGGTGGTGAAAGCAGTAAGAGGTGCTTCCATTACCGCGGTCTTACAAAGGGCCAGGCTCCGTATTAAATCTTCTCGAGAGGCCCCAACAAGATCCTGGGACGACCCGGTAGCCCCTGGCTCCCAGCCTATCTCTGACGCAGTGTGATCTCGCTCATCCCTTCTGGGCACTGGGCCCTTTCCCCCTTTCCGAGGTGAGGCTCCTGGATGTCCGGAAGATGCCAATTTGGGCTCCGCCGGCTGGTAACTGAATCCAGCCCTCTAGGATTGGAGAAGTGGGGTGGGGGATGGGGGCGGAGGCGAGGGCCGGGTCGGCTGGTGCCGGCCACTCGGGCAGCGGTGTGCCAGAAGAGATGGTGTGCTCCTGCCACCCCTGTGCCCACAGAAGTTTCCCGGGAGCACCAACGGCACGGGCTCGGCCGTCCACGCCTCGCGCGAGGCCCTCTGAGCTCAGACTCCGGGTTAGAAGTGGCAAGGGAGAGCCTCCCGCCCGGATGAGGCCTGGGCGACGCCAACAGAGAGGGCCCGACCTCTCAAAGACTTTGCTCTCCCGCCTCAGCTCTTCCCTTTCGCCCGCTCGCCCCCGTGGTGCCCAACGCGGCGGCTCGGAGCTGGGCGCTCAGCAGCTG